GGGCAAGGGACCTTCCAGCAGGGGTCCGACGGAAGCTAACGATTTATTGAAAGAGAGATACTATTTCTGTCATTAAAACTCATCAATAGCAACATACTTTAAACTCTAATTTCTTGATGTTTTCATGTATGATGTATTCAGTGTGTTGATTTGGAATCTAATGGCCAATAGTTGTTACTAGTACTATGAAATATGTTTAAAAGGAGATGTGGGGTAAAACAATCAATCGACCAAAGATCCAAACCTTTCGAAATATATAAAAAGCAAATCTATTTTTTCAATGGTGTCGTTCTTTTGATTATTATGACTTATTCTAGTTTTCTCCCCTTTTATGCGCCAATTTCGTTAATGGACAAGTACATGCAATGATAAATCTCCATAGATGGTCAGGTGTGACATAAACATACTCAAAGGGTTCCGTGGAATCCTGTGTTTCGCCTGGGATTGCTGCTGTCGGTTAAACTATAAAAAGTGAATGCATATTTATCAGTCAAATACAGGATTTAAAAGAAATCAAACTTTTCTTTAAATGTTTTTCTTGATCTTGGAAGATAAGCTTCTGTCTAAGTTTTATAACAATCTATGAAAGTTTACAAATGCAGCAGATGAAAAATATTTAATTCAAGACCGTCTGCTAATTGCCCCCCAAAAAATGGTAAAATACTGAAAAATGAAAAAAAATAAATTTTAGACTGAAATTTGCTGACTGTTGTAAAAGTTTTGAAATCATTTAAAAATAAAGAAATATATCTCGCCCATGCAAAGCTCTGATTCTTTTTCCGGAATTGGCTATACTTTAGGTACGTTTTATTTTGATCAGCTCTTCCAATGTTTTTATTAGGTTTTGGATTTTCAAATATTTCGGCCTCGAGCATCACTAATGAGACATTAATTGTCGAAAAGCGCATCTGGTGCAAAAAAAAAATCGTACAGTTGGTGTTAACATTTTTACATAAAATTCGATGAAGTTTTGACAATTAAAGTAATTGATGCGTAACAAACAGTATCTACTTGTTAACTAATAAAAACAATGTTCTTTTCAGTAAAATGCGGAAAAATTAAAAGTAAATTTTCATAATTATGCTCTGGATACTCTTTTGATCATAAAAAATTTCTGCTTATATTCTGTAAAATTTCATAAAGGTTTTACAAATTTATTGATGTTTTAAAAAAGAATTAACCACAGGCTGAACATAAATATTGACGACGCCAACGCCGATTACGGAATGTCTCGCAGGCTCGACAAAACTGCATATCGTATCTCAGCAGATAATGAATTGCTTTAAACTATAGGAAAGGGAGGATAATTCACAGTAGATTCAGATTTTGACAGAAAACGAACAAAAAAATAATATGATACCATTTGATTAAAAAGTAAATTTCTTCCGACTGTTATCTTCAATTACAAGTCAGTGGAGAAATAACTACATGGCTCATATGCTTTTAGCCAGATCTTTTAATTTACTTAGATTAAAATATTTTTTCTCCAAAATTCATGTGTACGCCCGGGCGTTTTGACGTAAACGTAGCTACGCGCCTGGAAACAATACATTTGTTTCAATGCTCAGAAAGAAAAAGCAGTCTATATTCCTATGAAGTACTTATATTTTAAGGAAATAAAGCTTTGAATGGTATACACATAGCTGGATATTCACCAGACAGCATAGATAACTTTGATATGGTCACTTTCGTCGGTGGCCTACTGCATCTCGGTCGACCACTATTATAGGATTATCTATTGTATTCATTATTAATGTGTTCTCGTCCTGAACATGCATGACATATTTGCTACTGGACGTAAAGCAAACAACACTCAACGAGACAGCGATCTCTTTTATTCCATGTTGGTATTATTTAAGTAGGTTTCTCTATATGAATTGGATTTTGAATAAAACAGTATATTAACCTGGAGAAAAGTGATATTCACCGCGTTAAACGTCACGCGCTTTTACATGTAACGTTTTGGTAAAATGTTCGATGAACAATTGTTTTTGGTAAATATTTGTCATTGCATATATTGTTTTCTCTCGGAATATGGAATAAAACAATTACTGTCTTTTGTTTTGGTAAATATGTGGTTTGATTGACTTTTGAAAAACTGATATTCACTCCGCATATTTACCTCATCAAAAGACAGTAATTGTATAGTATTATAAGTTTTAGTTGAAATGCAGTTATATATCTTTGTCAACATGCAATGAATATCAACATTGACATTGTTTGTATGTACATGTACATGCATTATGTATGTTTATTAAAGGAACAATGCTTTGGTATAAAAAAAAAATAAAGCATAATATATATTAAAAAAATCATTTTACAATCGCTAACCTCATCACATCGATAGAAATGGTTTAAATAAAAGATTTTTTCCCTTTCTCTCCGCTTTGGTTGGACCCAATTTTCGGTGGCGATGACACACAGTGATTATGTCAGAAAAATATAATTGTTTGTAAAGAGGAAATTTTTAATCATCTTAAATTTTTATGAAATTATATTGGAAACGGGGGAAACTGCTGAAACAGAAATATAGCAAATGCCACCAATTTAAATATCTTCAAATGATTTGAACAAATCAAGATTTCTATTTTTAATTGAATCCTCTGCTTCACTGATGCTAAAAATCACACACAGATTCAAATTACCTAGATTACTATACTTTAAATATAATGTTTGAGGTTAAGATTAAGTAATTTAGTTTTCTATATCTCAATTTTTCCCCGTTATTTCTGGATATCCATATCATTTTTCTCCAAAATATTTCTATGCGCATTTTTGCAGATGGAAAAATGATATCAATACGTTATATCATTAGAAAATTAAAAATTAAAAGTGAAATCTTTTATCAACAGCATAATTCTAATTTTGACAAAGTAATTGTCTAATCAAATGTTCAAGCAGTGGTATATCTATAAATATATATTCCAGTATTATACTCGAATCATTTCAGCTGGTTTGCCTTGAATGTGGGTTATATTCCCAGTTGAGTCTAACTAGATATTGGAAATTAGTATTTGCTGATTCTCTGCTATCCACGCGACATTAATGAGTAAAAGTAAAAATTTATAGTCAGAATAGGCTAGCTATGATCAGTAACTACGAGTACTCTCAGATCTGTACTTTGTGTCTTTTTTGTTGTTATGGATGTATAAATACCCTGCCACGTCCGGTCTGTGTTTTTATTTGATATTTTTCTGCTTTTTATCGATCTGATGAGTTAGGACCTTTTCAACTGATTTTTATAGTTTGTTCTTATGTTGTGCTGTAACACCACTGTCCCATGTTAGGCGAGGGTTGAGCGCTCACAAACATGTTTAACACGCCACATTCTGTATGTGCCTGTCCCAAGTCAGGAGCGTGTAGATCAGTAGTTGTCGTTGGTTCATGTCTGTCATATTTGTTTTACACCCACTTAATTTGGTGGATAGTTGTCTCATTGGGATTCATCCCACATCTCCTTATTTTTATTTGATATATGTTTCACATTGCCTATGCATCCTAAATATAAATAAAATTTAGTTCATTGTCCGTTCATGAATATTCATGACATGTGACCATTTGTTTGCACTTAAAACCCGTGCGGTCATCTTTCTGACCATCGACTCTCGCTATAGCTTAAAGAGAGACACGTGTATTCACGGATGGTTTAATGTATATTTGTATTTGTAATTATGATTACTATAATTATCATGTTTGTATTTGATACATAAGATATAGAATTAAAGGTTATAGCGAGTAGCACACCTACATTAAATCTTTTGTTCTTTGTTAAGGCCATAGAATATAATTACTTTATATACGGACGAACGTAGTGAGGGAGAATATAAATATAGCATTTTCTAATTGATGTAGTTACAATTCACTCATCCATTAAATCTATTTTTATATATAAATGAGTCATTTAGTTACCAGCGTAACAAGTAAATTATGATTTCACGTTTATGAATAATGAAATTGTGATGAATATTGAAAATCAATTTTAATGCAAAATGTTAATGCAGTGTTTCAAAGGATGTATGGAAAAGCTGAATATTGAAAGTTAAAATCAATGTCTGCATGCCGTTGAAAATAGAGACGTTGTATTGTTGAATATCGAAAAGCAAAATGAATATCCTAATGAATCAATGATATGTGAATCAATACAAGATTTTGATATTTCCTCATCATACATGATTTTGAATACTTTTGAATAAATAAATATGACAGGACACTATAAAAGTTGTTTAGTTTAATGAGAATTCAAGTGGCTTCAAAACAACTAACCAGCCTTTTTCAACTGATTTTTATACTTTGTTCTTTAGCTGTGCTGTTATCGCGAATATTAACGCCGGCTAGCTTCACACTAGTCTGTTAATATAAACATAAGATTTTCACCCTGAGTGTCAGAGTTTAAATTCTTACACCACTGTCTAAGGTTAGGGAGGGTAGGTCGCCCGTAAACGTGTTTTAATCCGCCACTCTCAGTATGTACCTGTCCCAAGTCAGGAGCCTGTCAACGTAATTCAGTGGTTGTCTTTTTGTTGATATCATACATGTGTATTTCTGTTTTTCGTTTATTGTTTTTTTTTTTACATAAATAAGGATGATGGTTTTCTCGTTTGAACAGTTCTACATTTTTTCATGTCGATGCGATAAGGATTTTCTACCCCAGGAATAGATTACCTTAGCTGTATTTGGCAAAACCATTTCGAAATTTTGGGCCTAAATGCTCTTCAACTTCGTACTTTATTTGGCCTTTTAACATTTTTGATTCTATAGTCAGTGATAAGTCTTTTGTAGACGTACAAAATTTCAAGTCTGGTATCTATGATGAGTTTATTTGCTCATTGTTGAAGGCCGTACTGTGACCTTGCTTGCTTCTACGTTATTTGGTCTCTGGTGGAAAGTTGTCTCATAGGCATTCATACCACATCTCCTTATTTTTATACTAAGTCTTTTGATTTAAAAACATATGTCTGTTTCTTTGTTAAGACGAGTCTGTTAATATAAAACGACGGATGTGCAGATATATAATATATAATTTTTAGGAGTAAAACAGTTTAAAATATCAAGAACAGAAACAATACAGTGCAACATGATTTTATCAATATGCAACAAAAAAGATCAAAATTTATAAAAATAGTGTAACAAGCTTCTAAGAATACAGTTCTCTCGATAAATACTAGCAATGGAAAGCAAGACAATATGCATTTGCATGTATAATTCAATAAACAGATAATTTTATAAAAACGGTTGTGGTTTGAAAATAACTTTTTATCAGTATCGTTACCATGAACGTAGTATAACTATATATTAATCGAATTTATAATATTATAAATTGTATATTTAATACTAAATAATAAAACTTATTTATCATTATTATATATTATATCAAAAAATGGCTTTTCTTAATATATGAAAAAATTAGGGAAGAAATTCCTCGACGGCTTACCATAGTGTGTTACCTTAATTATAAGAACATCTAGAGATACTTTTCTATTTCACAATGTATTCCAGTTAAAAGCATTTATTGAAGGCTAGTGAAATTGGTGATTAACTAAATGTAAATCCCAAATACTTATTTATTCATATTTGTTCACAGTATAAAACCTTTCAATTTCTCGAGATTTAATTGTTGTTTAAGTGTCGTATCAAAGTGACGTATTGTAATTTTACAACACGGGGGAACTAGCGGTAGATTTGAATAAATAAGAAATACACAGGTTGTACTTTCGATGTTCTATTGTTGAATCCAAACTAAATCAATTTGATTACATAAAACAAAGTTACATATGGAAGTCCATAAAACAATAACAACGGCATAGTCCGCTGGAAAGTCCTTAATTGTAGCAATACGGGGTCCGTATTCTAACGTTCGGTAATCCTCACTCCATATATTTTCTTAATGTCTCTTTTTATAACAAATAGTAAATTGCTCGAATATAAAATGACACTAATTAATATAAATTTGACAAATTTGGTCTATTCACAAGTGCTAAGTAAGCTTAATCCGTTATCACAAAATGACATTGACTCTAAGTTCTATATTACTAATTGAACTTCAAGCAGATTACGACATATGGATTGAAAAAGATTGTAACAAAATAAAACAGTATTGAAAAGTTATGAAATAAATTCACAGAAATTTACACCATGACAAAAGTCTTTGCGAAGAAAGCATAATAACACGTCATTTCTATGTTTTGCAGGCAATTATTTACATACTAGACAAGCACATACATACTAAAAACGTGTTCTGTTCATGATCTAAATTGTAATCATTCGTACGACTTGTTCACAAAGCTGTTACTTAAAAATTAAAAATGTGTGTCTCGCCTGATCAAAATATATAGAATTTTTACAGTTATTGCTTTGATGACTTGTCTTACGAAAGTTTCGAAACCAAGGCACTTGGATTACAATGTTCATCAAATTTATCAAGAATGTTTTTTAATATGAAGTGAAATAGCTCATTGCCCCTCTATCTATGAAGTTGACAATAGCATTGCCCCTCTATCTATGAAGTTGACAATAGCATTGCCCCTATATCTATGAAGTTGACAATAGCATTGCACCTTTATCTATGAAGTTGACAATATCATTGCACCTTTATCTATGAAGTTGACAATAGCATTGCCCCTCTATCTATGAAGTTGACTCTATCTATGAAGTTGACAATTGCATTGCACCTCTATCTATGAAGTTAACTCTATCTATGAAGTTGACAATAGCATTGCACCTCTATCTATGAAGTTGACAATAGCATTGCACCTCTATCTATGAAGTTGACTTTATCTATGAAGTTGACAATAGCATTGCACCTCTATCTATGAAGTTGACACAAATTCAGGTAAATATTTATGTGATTTAACAGCAGAGTTCTCGAAAAGTAGTGGTCTGAAGATTTTGACCACCAAATTTGGAAAGGACTGACACACTTTTTGGTATTTTGCAATAGACAAAATAAGAATAAAATATTTTCATACATAGTATAAAGTTTAGCCCCAATACCTTGGTTCTTTCAGTATAATTTTATATAGAAGATTAAGTCGCCATACTGAATAAAATGCCTTTGTTAAGTCTATAAAAACTCATCAACGATACCAGGCTTATCATTTGGTACGCCAAACGCGCGTTTCGTCTACATAAGACTTACCAGTGGCGCTCGAATTAAAACAGTTGAAAGATCAAGTTTAATACGAAGTTGAAGAGCATTAAAAGAGAAAATTTTGAAATGTGCCAAATACGATTAAGGCAATCTATGCCTAAGGGTAGATATCTCGAGTATTTAGAATAATTCAAAATTTTATTAACAGTTTAAAACAGCAAATTTACAGAAAACAAACATATCAATATTGCATGTCATCACACACGAAAAATCATTCACATTTTTTCTTTCAGTAATACAATCAGTAATAACATTTTAACAAATGATAGAGGATTTTAAAAAACGTTTCAGTTTACACTAATAATACACAATAACGTATAAAATATTGAGGTAAACATGTAACTCATAAATTGCACAAACGATTGCGTAGTTTCAGTCGTAAAAAATAAAATAGAATTTTTCTCATAATTTTCCGTTTTTAGCTGCTCTGTAATTGAAGTACAGAATGTGTATTGCATCTTCAATTCCCTGAAAACAGACACTGTCTGATCAATATGTATGTTACTCTGGAATTCAGCTTTATTTCCAAGAAAATGTAAACCTTGCATGTATAAGGAAGATATTCCACACAGTGCACATATAATAAGAATTAATGATATCCACTTATAACAAGTACTGTTTCTCACTTTACCCGAATTGAAGGATTTCATCCAAAACAATTTGTACATAATAAGAACCATAAATAAGAAAATAATTCCCCAAAGACTCATGGGTAATATTAGTTTGACAAATACATGGTAATACAAGTGGAAATATTTCGCCATTAAAACAGGAATTTCATGTCGTGCTCGACATTGAAAATATCTCAGGGAATTGAATTCATAAAACGTTGAATTAATCCTAATAGATGAAAATTTATGAATATTTATTGCACACATAACCAGGAACATCAGACCGCATAGCACTAAAGATTTACGGGTAGTTAATTGAAAATAGTGTCGTACATGGAAGATTGACACTGCCATCGTTATGGAAATGCAAGCACACAGCTGTAACGAAGTCAGACTCAACATTTCCTGTATTTCCAACATGAATAGAAACAATGAGCAATGCCGATTTATCTTCCATGATAATAAATATACTTCAGTATAATACCCGTCCGTAGAATCCTTGAATGTTAAAAACATCAGAATTGCATTTAAACTCAATGCCCCAAGTCCATTAACTAAACATAATATTTGAACCAAAACTTTCCATGGCGAATACGGAACTCGGAACAACAAAACCGCATTGAGTATAAATCCTGATAGAGATAAAATTCCATTTGCAACTGATATAAGATGGATATAATTCGAAAAGTTTTTAAACATAAAGAAATCTCCTCCCAAATTACTTGTATTTGCCGTCATATTAACAAGCATGCCATTCATTCGTGCATGTACATCATGGAGCACTGGCAAGACGTGTTACGGGTGAATGCATACAAATGAAAACAATATTCACAAAATGGTCACGGTAGTTTTTCAACGATATGTGTATTAATAAATATTTAAATATTGATTGTAAACTGTGACTTTGTGTACCAACTAAGCTCACACAAGACATTTAAACCCTTATGCTATTCTTTAAAGATATACAAATATGAAATACAGCGACTGTATGCACTGTTGCTCACATATATATATAATACACAGCGTATAACAGCCGCACAGTTCATTCCGGATGTTGTGCGTTCTATTAAAAGCGTTTAACTGGTCGGAGACTATTAGTTGCACAGTTTGCTAGTGACCTAATACGATATATATAAGTCTAAATTGAAAACAACGTTCAAACCTATGATTGCGTTGGATAAAAACCGCAATTTTTATACGTGTGCATGCAAAACAAATTTCTTGGTAGAGTGGTCAAAATACAGCACAAACAACATTTTCTAAAAGACCAAAAAAGTGAAAAAGTATATTTTAACAAAACGCATTTGACTAGCAGGTCGAACAACGGATGTTCTTAAACCCTGCTGACTGCCATGGCGATTGCTAAATAAACGGATCACCGAATGTAAAAATGGATCTTAATTTATTAATTAAAATTTAATACCAAACAGAAAACAATAAACTTGCGGAAAAGATGGTATACCGCAAACATGAGGTGCAAACATTTATACACCATATCCGGATTTCGACAATATATATATATATATATATGGGTCAGTAAATTCCATATGGGGTGAGAGCGAACCTAATACGATATATATATGGGTCAGTAAGTTCCATATGGGGTGAGAGCGAACCTAGTACGATATATATATATATGGGTCAGTAAGTTCCATATGGGGTGAGAGCGAAGTTACACAGTTTGCTAGTAACCTAATACTGTACATATGGGTCAGTAAATTCAAGAGGGGTGAGAGCGAACCTAATACGATATATATATGGGTCAGTAAATTCCAATATGGGGTGAGAGCGAACCTAATACGATATATATATATATATGGGTCAGTAAATTCCATATGGGGTGAGAGCGAAGTTACACAGTTTGCTAGTAACTTAATACGATATAATTGGGTCAGTAAATTCCAATATGGGGTGAGAGCGAAACTAATACGATATAAATGTATATATGGTCAGTAAGTTCCATATGGGGTGAGAGCGAAGTTACACAGTTTGCTAGTAACCTAATACGATACATATGGTCAGTAAATTTCATATGGGGTGAGAGCGAAACTAATAAGATATATATGGGTCAGTAAATTCCATATCGGGCGAGAGCGAAGATCGAACCCCATATGAAATTTACTGACCCCATATATATCGTATTAGGTCACTAGCACAGTGTATTAGCGAACCTAATACGATATATATATGGGTCAGTAAATTCCATATGGGGTGAGAGCGAACCTAGTACGATATATATATATGGGTCAGTAAGTTCCATATGGGGTGAGAGCGAAGTTACACAGTTTGCTAGTAACCTAATACTGTACATATGGGTCAGTAAATTCAAGAGGGGTGAGAGCGAACCTAATACGATATATATATTGGTCAGTAAATTCCAATATGGGGTGAGAGCGAACCTAATACGATATATATATATATATATATATGGGTCAGTAAATTCCATATGGGGTGAGAGCGAAGTTACACAGTTTGCTAGTAACTTAATACGATATTATTGGGTCAGTAAATTCCAATATGGGGTGAGAGCGAAACTAATACGATATAAATGTATATATGGTCAGTAAGTTCCATATGGGGTGAATGCGAAGTTACACAGTTTGCTAGTAACCTAATACGATACATATGGTCAGTAAATTCCATATGGGGTGAGAGCGAAACTAATAAGATATATATGGGTCAGTAAATTCCATATGGGGCGAGAGCGAAGATCGAACCCCATATGAAATTTACTGACCCCATATATATCGTATTAGGTCACTAGCACAGTGTGTAATGAATTTATCTTACCGACTATCTTAACATGTGGCATTTCGACTAATGGCTTATCAAATTGATCAAGTCTTCAATATGAAGAACCTACTTCCATTGGTCTATACAATTAACAAATGCCAACAGTAACAACTTGTTAGCTTTTAATGTGTTTTCTGCATTTATTTCAATCGTTCATCATCAATTTCTTTATCTGTTGTCCGGGTGAAACGTTTCAGATATTTCATCGACGCCGTGTTGTTTTTATAAAGGGACGTCCGTAACACCACTACTAACCGTGTATTAAAATAAACCACGCCTACAAACCCCATATGAAATATACAAGGTCTCCGATCGGTCGCTTTTAACCAATGATATTCCTAGAAATGTATAGGATGTAAGATAAACTACCGTATACGGGTATGCATAGTTTAGCATACTATTGTTCTCCCAAATTTCACAGATTGACGGAAAAAGATCTCATCACATGTTTTCTTGTTTTGTGATGACATTTGCAGACCATGCAATAAAGTAATAGTTCAATGCTCAGATTAACGAATTATTGTTTCTCACCTAAGCAATAAGTGTTTGTAATGCACAGTAACTATTATCCTTGTGCGTTGTTTGAAATTTAATTCGGTCCCAAATAGTCACTACACAGGACTTAATATATAAAAGGTCGTAATAAATCCAATGGAGTACAAAAGCAAATCAGATTTCAATTATTTGAATTTCTAAAATTTACATTAATTTTTCTGGAAAGACGAGACATAATAATTTAGTTTGACTTCGACAATGATTTAAACTTAAAAAGGTCGCAGTTTTTGTTTGGATGATACATTTCTCCCGTCTCTGACACTTTTACAATATTTACTTTATTTCATATTTTTAAAACGATGAAGTTTGTACAAAGTTGTTCATTGACCAACTTTATCGTAGTTGTAAGGCAAAGTTCATTTGAAGTGTGCAGCATATTTAGGTAGTTCATGTACACCTTAGTTGTGCATAATCCCTATTATAGTACAGAAGGAACTAAAAGATTTCGCATTTGTCATGTGTTAAATATCAATATATTTATATATAAACCCTTGTCTTGGTTCCGTTTTATTGATGGTATTTGCATGAAATGGAACGATACTGCAGAACATCTACAAGTTTTTTTTTAGATCATTGTAAAAAGTTCCATCATTCAATTAAATTTACTTCTGAATTTTCAAGCGAGAAAATTGCGTTTCTCGACACCACCACATTTGTAAAAGACGGGGTCATGACAACTGATCTCCACACAAAGGAAATTGACAAACACCAGTTTCTCTCTCCGAAAAGTTTTCAGCCGAAACCTTGCAGTCAAGCCATCAGACTAAAGCGAATTTACTCCTCGGAATCAAAACTCAACTACTGTTTGGAACAACTCAGAAAACTAATAAAATCAAGAGGATACAAAAACAAAAATATCACAGAAGCTTTCGATAAAGCCCAAGAAAAAGATCGAGACATCCTCACGGAATACAAAGATGAGACCCGCACAGATAGAATTCCGTTTATTGTCACCTTCCATCCCGATATGACAAATACTTCATCTACTATCCGCAAGCACTGGAGTCTTATTGAAAATGACTCTTCCTTAAAAGATATTTTTCCATCACCTCCTGTTATTGCTTATCGCAGACCCAAAAATCTCAAAGACATACTTGTTACGTCTTAAGTAAAAACAAACAAGAGACCTCTAAAATCGGTAGTTACAAACAATGCGGAAGAAGCAATTGTAAGTGCTGTAAAGTCGCCAACACTGAAAACTCTTTCACCAGCACAGTAACAAAGCAGCGATACAACATCTATGTTACATCTAATTGTAAAACGGAAACTATATATAGTATTTATATTCTTACTTGTGGAACTTGCAATCTGCAATATACTGGCGAAACAGAAACTAAATTCAACATCAGACTCAATAATCACCAGTCATTTTATACCAAAGGAAGAAACTGCCCAATCACGAGACACCTCTTAAGAACAGGACATACTTTGGAAAATATCACCTTTCAAATAATAGAGGTCAACCAAAATTGGGACACCCAAAGTAGAAAACAGAGAAAGAGATTTTAGATGCATCAGCTACGTACTCTTAGACCTGATGGAGTGAATGAGAGAGATGAAACACAGTTTTTATCAAAAACCAAAGGAATAAATCTTGAACTTTCTTACTATCTAACTAACTCAATTATTTGTTTTTTGGTTTAATAATCGCAATGTATATATTAAGCTGCAAAAAATATATTTAAGAGACATGTACATGATGTACAATAAGCTGCAAAAATTTCTTAACAGCATCCGATTTTTACCTGATGGCTGCACGAGCCTGATGAAGCTAATTTGTTAAGCGAAATATTGCGTGAATATATAAAATATAACTACTATTTTTATAACACTCATTAGTGTGTTAAAGTTACATTCTTAGTCATTTATATAATTTAATTTAGTAACTGCATCAGTTTATTTTCAAACTGATCCACGCCTATATAGATTGAATGTTGATTGTTGCTATTTTTAGACACTACGTATATAAATATATATATATATATATAAGAAGATGTGGTATGAGTGCCAATGAGACAACTCTCCATCCAAGTCAAAATTTATAAAGTAAACCATTATAGGTCAAAGTACGGTCTTCAACACAGAGCCTTGGCTCACACCGAACAGCAAGCTATAAAGGGCCCCAAAAATTACTAGTGTAAAACCATTCAAACGGGAAAACCAACGGTCTAATCTATATTAATAAACGAGAAACGAGAAACACTTATGAACCACATCAACAAACGACAACTACTGAACATATGTTGAGTTAGATTGCTGACAAATAAAAATACATTGTGTATCAAAAAAATAATATAACATCTACACACGCTTAAAACACATGTCTTATGTCTATCTCTAGATTCGCCTTACGTGACAAGGTAACACCTGAACACTACGACTTTTTCAATTTTTTTATATAGAGGATGTGGTCGAGTGGTCTAGAGCGCTGGACATGAGGCTAAGCGATTAGTGCTGTAGTGTATCAAAGGTGTGCCTGAGTTCAAATCCCGTTGAGGGACAAAAAATTGTCAGCATAAAAATCTAATTCTAACACTGTTGGGTTTAATTTTCAGACTTATATAAAATTGAGAATGGAAATGGGGAATGTTTCAAAAAGACAACAACCCGACCAAAGAGCAGAAACAGCCGAAGGCAACCAATGAGTCTTCAACACAGCGAGAAAATCCCTCACCCGGAGGCGGGCTGCAGCTTGCCCCTAAATAAAAATGTGTACTAGTTCAATGAAAATGGACGTCACACTAAACTCCAAAACATATAAATGAACTAAAATTAAAAAAACATCCAAGACTAACAAATGCCAGAGGCTCCTGACTTGGGACAGGCGCAAAAATGCGGCGGGGTTAAACATGTTTTGTGAGATCTCAACTATCCATCTATACCTCTAGCCAATGCAGAATAAACAAACACACATCAATACGCTCAGTACAACTCAATATAAAAGAAGTCCGAGTCCGATGTCAGAATATGTTACAAAAGAAACTAAGCAAAATGATATATATATGTCGTATACAAATTGTAATGTTGACATACAAATTATAATTTCAGATCTACAGAATTTTTGTACAAGTTTTTAGTATTATGTGAACCTCGTATTAACATAATTAGATAAGTGAAAAAGTAAAAATAGATTCTAAACCAATGAGGTGTACTCATTTGCAGTATTATGCCAAAGAAGACAGTGCTAAACGTGAGGTTGAGGTTTAAATCACCAAGCTAATCATTAAAGATATTGAACTTGTATCACCTGGTCAGAGGTGTGTGTAAAACTACTGATAACTGATGCAAAAAACCCCTGTAAACAACATATTTATATATAAATCATTTTGCTTTAATCATTGTGTCAATTATTAAAATCATAGTATTATTTTGTATATTAAATTCGATTGTTCAGCTCAGATAATGGTTCAGTTTAATAAACGTGTAGCATCTTGTCTCATTGTGTGTGACATAACTACATTGTATTGACAATTTTTATATGAATGTACATGAAACGAATAATTAGTTTAAAGTTTTACATTGAATATGTCTGTATCTGTTGTCATGGCAAATTTTCAAAACGTACCTACAAGTTAGCAAGAAGAAAAAAAACAAAACAACACATGCATGCACAAAAACGAAACTTACATGACATACCGTCTTTTCGCTTTTTTTAGCATCAAGACCAATATTTCTGAGTAATTTCATATAGAAAAAAGATAGCACGTGTACAAGTTTTAATTTTGAACCAAATTAGAACGAATTAGGACATACATTTAAATTAGAAATTGTCACCTGAAACAAATCTAATTTCTTGATTTTTAACTTATTCCTTTAAATTAAATCAACATACTAACCTATAAAATACTAAAGTAGACATATAACTAATAAAAAGCATAAAATTTTGTGCAATTTCAGTTGTAAAAAATAAAAACACATATTTCCCATAATCCTCTAGAAATGGCTTCCCTGATATTGAAGTAGAGAATGAATATTGTAAATTAGTTCTATAATCCACAAAAACAGATAGTGTGCGATCGGGATAAATGTCACTCGGAAATTTTTGGTTATTTCCTAGAAAACGTAGTCCTTGCATGAGCAGTGAAGGCAGTTCGCACACTGAACATATCATTAAAACTAATAATATCGACTTCTGTGAGTAATGACATTTTTCTTTTCTTCCACTGTTAGTCACAGATTTCTTCCAGAACAGTTTGTTCGAAATCATAATTACTGATACAACTATAAGAACCCAAAGACTCATGGGTAATACCAGATCCACAAGAACATGGTAATGCGATATAACATATTTCGTCATCACGATCGGAGAATCATATCGCGATTGACACAGAAGACATTTCACAGAATTAAAGTCGTAGTAAGTTGTTTTAATTCGAAGAGAAGAGAATTTATGACACTTAATAACACACATCAATAGAAAAGAAAATCCAGTTAATAAAACAAACTTTATACCGGTTATATGAAATCGGTACCTTACTTTGTAAGAAGAAAATAAAGCATTGATGCCAACTATAGACACCAATAGAAGTGAAATTAAATGAAAGATACCTTGTACTTCAGAAATATATATAAAAGTTTTGCAAGGACTGTTTAAAATTCTGGAAAATAGAAAGTATTCTGTAAAATAGCCATCCGTAGAATCCTTGAAGTTCAAAAATGTCAGTAGTCCATTTGAACAAGCTGCACATAGTCCATTCACAAAACATAAAATTTGAATCAAAATTTTCCACTGAAAATGCTGCACTCGGAATAATAAAGCACATAAAATAATATTTAAGATTAGTCCTGCATAAGATAAAATCGTATTTCCGAAAGAAATATAGTAAAGTGATTCCGAAAACCTGTTGAACATAAAAAGAGCATCTTCGATGTAACTCAAATTTCCCCTCATTCTTTTATCATCGACAATGTCCCTAGTCCGATGTCCCTAGTCAGCAATGTCATAGTGTTTTTTTTTACCTCAGAAATTTGAATAAAAATTAATTACAACTCGGAACAATACAAATCCTTTTCCAAAAAAATCTACCTAATTCCGTAATTTGTATTGCATGACTGAATATTTAAATCATGATTTAAATGAACTTTAAATATTTGGATCAATTTGATTGAAAGCTGACACAAACATGTAATATCTTTGTTTACTTTTTTGATAATAAGCTATATTACTTAATACAAATAAAAGAATGGGTCATTGAAATTTGAAAACGTTAGGAATTCCGTGAGACCACTCTTGCGTGCACAATCTTCAATTCTATCGGTCAATAATCACTAAAGTGAGTTAACTGCTATAATGAGAACAGAAATTTATAAAGCAAATGTATCTGTTCGCACATTTTACATTGTCATAAGTCACATAAAAAATGCAAAATACATTAAATACACAAGGCTTAGGAAGTAGCAGGAATATTATGATGCAATCAGGGCAGCAATTCCTACCCTGTCCAGGCATCCGCTGGTTCCCCGTTTGGAGTTCACGAGACTGTGTTTTTAAAAACGATTTATTATTAAAGAGTCCCTAGTCTATACATGTATGTATGCTTCTTCAAATTTTTATTTTTATTTACTTGCACTGAATTAAGACCGGTGCTGTTGGTCTGTTATATACCCAGTATAGGCAGTAATTATTCATGCACTGACATGATTTATAACATTATATACTTGTCTAAATATAAATTTAGAAATTATTAATAAACTAAGGTATAGTAGATTTGAGATGGTTTTTGCTTTTCTTTCCAATTTCCTCAGGCAAAGTTGACCATAGATATATTTGGCTATTTCTATGTCCATTTGGTCATACAGCTCTTCGTGTTTCTCTGTACTTATACATCATAAGCCTAGTAGTCCGCACTTCTGTGCTGACATGAATTATCATTGATATTGTCTTATTTATAAATTTACTGTTTACAAAACTGAATTGATCGAAATACTAAGGCAGGCTCTACCACATGAATAGATTACCTTAGCTGGCAAAACGTTTCGGAATTTTTGGCCGTCAATGCTGTTCAACTTCGTACTTTATTGGGCCTTTTAACTTTTTTGATTCGAGCGTCACTTATGAGTCTTTTGAAGACTAAACGCGCGTCTGGTGTACAAAAAGTTTGCAGCTTCATGTTCTTATATGATAGCTTGGATTTAAAATTTTTGGTTTTGAGTGTTCGTAATAGTTGAAAAGAGACTCAGTGATAGTGATTGCTAAACCACCATTCAGTTTGCCAAAAGTGAACTTTGTCATTGATAAAGTATTTTCTCCCTCTATTTATTACAAAATAATTTCATTAATTATCAGTTTCTTTTATATTACACATAAGTATATATAAGAGGGTCTGGGTGGGATGTCCTTCATCTCTGTATTCCTTAATTTTGAGGTCATTTTTCTCTTTACATTATTTGCCAATCATTCTCTAAATTCTTTATACTTTAGCGCCCCATTTTTCTCTATTCTTTATTTTGTGCCCTTTTGTTCTCTATTCTTTATTCTTTTTGTTAATTTTTCTGTAGATTTGGTCCATTATTCTCTATTCTCTGAACCCCATCCAGACCCTCATATATATAACTAAAGAGGGAATTGTGCACTACTATAAATATACTTGGGAATAAATCCTCGACACTTACATAAATAGCAAACTATATTTAAATCTGTTGGATTTCATCATGTTCCTGTGCACGTTGATGAATTGAATGATGAATTGAATTGTTCAGTCATAATAAAAAAGTTTCAAAAAGGGATTCTAAGGAGCACATTGCTTTGACACAGAGAACAGTTTATCAACTTTTCACTGCAATTTATTTTTTTTAGAGTTCCCTTTTGCAGGCTTAATAAATCTACTTTGATTGTACGGTCGCATACAAATGCCATGTTTTGCATGCCATATAATTTTACAATACACAAAGATAATCTCCCTTTGTTTACTTGATCAGTGTATTATTTTCTACACGGTTATCACCACTAAAACATACTGCTGTACATACTGCTCCGATTGATAAGTGTAATAAGTAAGTTTTTATTATTTTTTTAATTTCTATTGAGAGAGCATCGCACTTACAAACTGTGTATTAAATCAAATATTCTAGATACTGTTTGAAAAATATGGAAAGCAAAAAAGAAAGAAACAATATATTATATACTGAAACATGATGAAGTTATTGGCACTTGTGAAATGGTTACCAGCATGCATTATAAGTGAAGCAAAGGAAGCCAAAGAAAATGTCATAATGATTCAATTGAATTTTGAATTGAGATCCAACGACAGCAGGAACCATATTAATCATGTTAATGATTTGTCTTCGACAGCTTAAGGTAGATTCATGGTATACCGCCATCTTGGATTGTACAATCTCAGTACAAAATTGGTCTAGTTATTTGCCCAAATCTGCAAATTTGGTTACAGATTTGCAATTTAATAGTTAGATTGTTTATTTATATAAAAAAACTTTGTGATTTATTGTATTATTCAAAATATTTAAACAAATATCAAATTTTGTGTTTTTAGAATCATTTTTTTCAAATAAGCCATTTAAGGGGAGATAACTCTTTTAGTAAAAAATATATACTGGACTGATAGGGAAATTTTTTATTTTTACTTGTAGCAAGAAAACAAGTTCGGTGACACCATTTTTTCTTTTTCTTTTTTTAAAACATATTATAAAACCTATCTTCTTACAATTTATTTCAAAATTCTATCTCATAGAATTTTTTTAATGCACACAAATGTGTTTTTTCATGAACAATCTAACCAAATTTAGGCAATTTTCAACGACTTATAGTTTGGAAAATAGCACGGTGACCCATACTTTTTATTATATTTTTGAAAAAAGCATAGTAAAATCTTTCTTTTGGCAAAGTATAAGAAAATTCTATCTCAAAAAGTATATACTTATGATCTACCTTAATATCGTTCGCCGGCTAGTTATTCGATCCGTCCGTAGACGATTCGCTTTTTTCAAATGAATATAATCAGAGACATATAATACATATATGTCTCTGATATAATAAAATAAAAAAGGACGTGTCACAAAATTATGTTTCAAGCTACACATGCTACAGGGGTTGCAAAATTGCCAGATTTTGTAAAGATTATTCAAAGAAAAAAACATCTTTTCGGAAGGAATACTTAGTAAGATAAGATAAGATATAAAATAAGATATTTTTTTTTAAATTTGAGCTATACAATCAAATGAGTTACAAAATAAAGCACAGTAAATGATTAAAATGATTAAAGTACATTTAAATAAAACATGTATAGATTCTACACATTTAAACAAAGTAACATAATTATAAACCATGTTATTGACAAAACATTAAGTTATTTTGGAAGTCACTGTGACCTGGAGAAATTACATTTAATAATTACAGTATATATATATATACTGAGTGTTGGGATGAGCCGTTCGGCCCCGAGTATGTCCCTATTTCAAGCTTCATAATATGATAAAGGTGAGAAATTCAGATTAAAAACACATTGTCTTACGAATCTGAATTGTATCAGATATTTTTCAAATCTATTAAACACTTTATGAAATAATGTAATGTAGCTATAGCATTTACATTACTTTAGGCGATTTTTTGTCTCGCCTGCAACGAAAGTCGAAGAAGGCGAGACATAGGTATTACTTTTCCGGTGACGGCGTCGTCGTCGTGGTCCGCGGCGTCAACAATTCAGGGGTTCAAATTAACATTTGGTACTAGAAGGTCCAGGACCTTTGACACTCCAAACTGAAAGGTCCACAACATAAATCCCAGGTCCTACTTTATTTGAAATATTTCATAACTCAGTAAGATTAATGTGTTTTTGGTCTTAGGTTACCTTGTTTAATTATATTTGAACTGCATGCAATATGTTGTTAAGTTTACAAATATATTGCCAGGCAACCATATAAATGTAGCACTAAACTGTCAGTGTCACTGTGATATAACCTGTATAATAATAAATGATGTAATTGTCTTACAAGTATATTATGAATTCAAATAATCTTTTTTTTTGTATTGGGGAGGGTGTCACTGTGGGTGGGTGTGTTGTCTCAATTATTGGTAATTATACCATAATCTCAGGGCTTAGACTACTTCAGAATCATAGGGGAAGTGACTTCAAGTCTCTTTTTTAAACTGATAGGGAGAAGTGGTGAGATTTGAAAGAGAAGTGCTCACTCAAGGCGCTACAATGTTTGATTTTTACTATAATATAAAGGGCTATATGTATCTTTTTGTATATTGTTCAATTCATAACCGAGTATTCAATTAAAAACAGTTCAAATTCATAGCTGTTTAAGTTCATCATATGTTGCACAATTATATTAGTTCCTCTCTTGTTAGAAACTACCAACTAAATATCTAGCACTAATAAAGAAAGAACTTTTTTTACATCAAAAAAGAAAAGAAAGTGTGGAATGCTTAATTTTTCCCTGTGGGATCAATATTCTGCTGTCAGATGTGCCATTCATTGGTCCGTAGTCATTATCCGTAGAATCCGGATTTCATTCATAGCTGGTCCGTTTCCCGACTCCGATCAGTAGTTTGTACACATATTTCAATGGCTGACGAAAAAATTTACAAAAATAAACGATGTTTGAAACGCTATTTCGGAAGGGAATATGACGTTTTTAATGCAACGAATGGATAACAAATTTACTTAAGGCAACTTTCATCACTTCTAATGGGTTAACAAACTTATTTTGCAGACAGTTAAAATGGTTTAAAGTACGCTCTCAAGGGGTATACCATGTCAATAGTAATATGGCTTTGAAATGACGATACTGATGGTTCAAAAGGTCGGCAAAGTTAATTTTTATTTTCTTTCAAATCGAAGGTCCGTCGGGCGTAGCAAGTAACCAAAATGAAAGTCCGATTGCAATAGGGGAAGGTCACGAACTACTTGTGATAGATCAATGTATTTTCTATAAAGTTGCATTACTATCACTACATTCACTCCCTGCTCCCGTACGTCATGGTCCAGTGACTTTCAATTAATTACCAATTTTCAATGTTAAGTTTTCTGCTTTTAAGAACTACTTTTGATAGATCAATTAAATTTTGTATGAAGTTGCATTACTATCAGTTCATATCAGTTTGGAGGCTTTTTACACTTAACTATAAGGCCCTGTCACCTAGGCCATGGTCAGGTGACTTTGAATTAATAAGCATATTTTAATGTTAAGTTTTCTGTAGACAACGATATTTCTATAAAGTTACATTACTGTCTGTACATCTCAGACCTTGTAGTATACTTGATATAAATGTGATACTTACAATTTGAGAGAAACTTTTTAAATGCTAATTTAAAAAACAATCAGTTAGGAAAAGGCATGTAATTTATAGTAAAATTTTAACTCACCTGTCCTTCAAGACCAAGTGAGCTTTTTCCATTACTTCACGTCTGTCTTTGGCGTCCGTCCGTCCGCCCGTCCGCCCCTCGTAAACTTAAAAAAAAAAAATCCTTTAAAACTAATGGGCCCAATTGAATGTTCCTCATTGTATCTTGTTTAAACAAAATATTCGGGGATTTGATCCATCAACAAACGTGGCAGTTTTTGCTAAAATTAGAACATAGGGATTAAATGCAGTTTTTGGCTTATATCTCAAAAACTAAAGCAGTTAATGCAATTCTGACATGTGGTAGAATTAAACAGCTGGTCAGGGTCTATCGCTTGTGGAAGAACAATCTTACAACCATATTTGGAGATATTGCCCTTGCACTGTCCTTTTTTTTAGCAAATTTCGCCGGGTTTTGGTTATTATCTTGAAAAAAGACAAGACGAAAAAGTAAAAAGTAAAAATTACCAAAACAAGGAAATCATATATAAGTCAACTAGGCAGGAATCGTTCAATGAACTCTTAAAGGAATCATTGCCTATAAAAGAGAGGAGAAAGATACCAAAGGGATATTCAAACTCATATTAAAGTCGAAAATAAACTGACACTGCCATGGCAAAACAAAAAGAAAAATACCAAAAGACAAACAACAGTACACAAAACACAACACAGTAAACTAAAGGCTGAGCAACACGAACCCCACGATAACCGGGGTTGATCTCAGGTTCTCCGGAAGGGAAAGCAGATCCTGCTCCACATGTGGCACCCGTCGTGTTGCTCATGTAAGGACAAACCCGGTAAGTCTAATTCGGTTGGTCACACTCGGGGAAAATAGGACGGGATTGTAGTTACGACAATTTGAACATATCCGTCATCATCTGTGAAACAGATATTACTTAAATGTCAACCAACTTGTGAACAATTATAACGCGTGTATAAATGATGATTTTTATCCTTTTGCATTTTTTGAATACACTATAGTTGAAAGAGAGAATCTTTCGATAGTATAAATGTTTAACAAATTATGATCTACAAATGAATCAACATGGAAGAATCGTCAGTTGACCCCTTGTAGGAGTTATTGCCCTTGAAAGACTTATTTTACTAATTGTTTGCATTTTTTAGCAGAAACTGTAAAAGAGATATTTATTGTAAAACGCAAAAGTGTTCAGAAAAATAAGATCTATAAATTAGTCAACATGTACGAATCGTTAATTGACCGCTAAGTCCGCTTATAGGAGTTATTGCCCTTGACAAATGGTTTTTGATAATTTCTAACATTTTTTGAAGAAACCATTATAGAAAGAGATAAATTATAAAGCAAAGATGTTAAGCACAGTAAGATCTACAAATAAGTCAACATGACCGAAATTGTCAACTGACTCCATAATGCCCCTGAATGACCTTTTTTTACCCATTTTATGATTTTTTGAAGGAACATAGATAGAGAGTTTTTGGAAGAACATGCAGTTCCGGCAATTCGATTAAGTGTTAAAATTAGTTAATGAATTATAATTTTATTTATTTTTAGAATAGTTCAATATGGATGAGAAATCCCATAAATGTGATATATGTGGATTAGGGTTCAAACAGAGTGGAAATTTACATGCACACAAAAGAACACATACTGGTGAAAAACCGCATAAATGTGATATATGTGATAAAGGTTTTAGTCAGCGGAGTAATCTACAGAGACACGCGAGAACACACAGTGACGACAAACCTTATACGTGTGATGAATGTGGTAAACAATTCATCCAAAGTATCCATTTAAAAGTACACATCAGATTACATTCTGGTGAAAAACCTTATCAATGTGAAGTATGCAGTAAACAATTTTGTCGCAATGGCGACTTGAAGATACACATGAGAACACACGGCACAGAAAAACCACGTGCGATCATGTGTGAAATTTGCGGAAAAGAGTGCAGTAGAAAAGATGTTCTACAGAAACATATGAGAACACATACCGGTGAAAAACCATTTATGTGTGTAGTATGCGGTAAAGAGTTTAATCAGCTTGGGAACTTGAAAGCCCACATGAGTCAACATACTGGTGAGAAACCATACGTGTGTGCAATATGCGGTAAAAGCTTTTATCTGAATTGCATCTTGAATAAACACATGAAAAAACATAGCGATGAAAAACCTTATGAGTGTGACGTGTGTGGTGAAGGCTTTAAGGAAAACTGGAACCTGCAGAAACATGTTAAAATACATATTGATGAACCGATAGAAAAACACATCGGTGAAATGCATATGATTGATCCACTGCAGGGTTCAACATTGTAGAGCTTTGGACATTTTCTTTGAAGAATTCACAAATTTTTGAACAGGAGAATTTCTCGTTATTACACAAAATAAAGAACGATAAACATTTTATAATGTTATATGTATAGATCTATCAAGTAAATGTGGTATACATCATTAGCGCCTTGGAAAGATTTTATCATTTTCATCATTTTCTTTCCTAAAATATTTTCAACAAGTTTCTTGCTCAAACCAAAACCAATTTGTTTGACATCGAAATACAAGTACAGTGGACGCTACTTCCACGATAAAATTGTGTTGGTTTGATCAAGATGATGTTTAATAAAGACAGATAAGCTGAATGAATAAAACTTAATTGGAAATCTGCAAAACAGAAAAAAAATAACCACCTCTGTGGTCTCCTGGTATTACTCGTCTGGAGTGTGGAATGTTTTGGGTTCCCGTGTTGAAGGCCGTACTTTGACCTATAACTGTTTACTCTTTACACATTGTGACTTGGATGGATAGTTGTCTCATTGGCACTAATACCACATCTTATTTATATGGTCTGTTCGGAGTCAGAGTAATGTGTCTTAGTAATGTGATATGACTTCCTGTGGACTATAAACAAATTGTTTAACATTGTGATTCCTCTGATTTATCTAATGAGCCAATATGGAATCAACACTAGTAAACTTATGTTTGGAATGATGTAACATGTCTGCGCCAAGGGAAAGTTTGTTTAAATCAAATTAAATAGCCTTATGGAATCCACATCGGTATACGTATGTTTTGGATCGATCCAACATGTCTTCGTCCACTCGTGGTTAAAATGTTGAATCAAATCAAACTTACATATACCGGTGTAGATTTTAAACAGGTATCTGTAACTTGAATAAACACATGAAAAAATTTGGCCTTTTTAACTTTTTTTGATTCGAGCGTCACTGATGAGTCTTTTGTAGACGAAACGCGCGTCTGGCGCAAATACAAAATTTCAATCCTGGTATCTATGATGAGTTTATTTGCATGGTGTGAACATTCTTCCTGGGTGCAGAAATTTTGGATCTGTCTATACATACGTATACCAATCTGGATTCCATACGGTGTGAACAAGCACGTTTAAAACCAAATCCTTGTGTAGATCTTGTACTTAGCCGGGCATATTCATATTATTTACATACTTTTGTCCCAAATATACAACATGTTATATATTTGACGGTTGGTGTTAACCAGCATACATGAATCAATCAATCAATCATTAGAACAATAAAAGGGGTCTGTACACCAGTGGAAGAAATCGTACTGAAGTTTCATCACACCCTTGTTAAACCAATACGGTAACAATAGTATATTACACATTGTAGATGAAAAAGGTTTTTCCGACAACAGCGTAGTTCTCAACATGTTCCTAAAAGGATTTGTTTGGACCGACTTCCTCTGAATATATTAATTAAACTTATAGGGTAAAATAAAAAAGTTCATGAAACTCCGTGAAATTTAAATATTAAAAATGTCAATAAGCATTTGATATCTCAACATTATAACATTGCATTTTAAAAGTCTGAATAATATGCTGAAAGGAATTTTGGTGTATAAAAAAAGAAGATTTTAACCGCTAATTGTGTTGTTACAGACAATTTTGGTAAATTTTGGAGCTGTTACATGTTGATTTTTTTTAAAAATTATTGATTAATAGTCAACGGATTGGAGTTGTCAATGTTTCATAGTTAGTCCTTTTTGGCCTCAAATTGTCAACATAATAAAAATATTAATGTTTCATACTTAGTCTAGATTTTGTCCTCAAAATTATGAAATGCAAATATACATGTAAGTCGCAAAAGGGAAATGAGAGGTTTAAACTTAGAAAGATAGAATAGTTTTTACCAGCGATTAGTCTAAAAAAAAACAACATTGGTCTATTTAAATCCTAAAGTACATCTTCACATTTCATAATTCAAATTGTTTTATTTTGTTTGATACATTCTATACTAGAACAGAAACAAAATCATGGGAGTAAAACCGGTATGAAACCTTTAAACTGTGGTTAATTCGTGTATTACAGGCTGTTGACTATTGTTTTACAATCTGTTCGCTATGTCCTTGGCAACGACATGCAAAATAACAAGTATTTTAAACTCACAAAACTAGATTATTGATTTAATTGTGACGTTCTACATCCTTTCTTCGGTACATTTACACTTTACTGAATGGTATCAATTAGAGTTGAGAATGGAAACGGGGAATGAGTCAAAGAAACAACAACCCGACAACAGAGCAGAAAACAGCACAGGGCCTCCAATGGGTCTTCAACATCAACCATACTTATCGTTATAGGCATATATGTATATAATTATTTGGTTTTACACGTTTTTATGGATGGACATCTATCCCGTCGATATTTACACAACATTTTTATACCAGGAGCAAATCCGTAACCACTCCTGACTGAACAAGCTATATAGTCCTACCCACAAACCCCGTTAGTCAGGGAAAATGATCAAGTAAAACTTTTGGAGCTCAAGTTAGAACGTTTACGTTCCAACAAAACAATTAAAATTTACAAAACAAGAACAAAAGCAGGAATTTATAAGGAGGACGACACTCCCTTTAATGAAATTATTCCGTCAGACACGTGTGTCTTTTTTTCTAAGGTCCAATATGTTTTCTGTTTTTAAGTTGTCCCTCAATCTCAAACTACTGTTTCTAAAAAACAAAAACCAAAAAAAAAACAAAACAACAAAACAACAAAAAAACATGGAAATGTTGCCAGTCACATATATGGTAACCATGATCATATGCGCATGCCTGATCTGATTTTGGCATGCCTCTTAATTTTTTGTTTTTAACAAATGATTCTATGTTTCTTATTATAATTGTTTCTATTGTATTTGCCTTTTGAGGTCCTAAAATTGGTAAAAAAAAATTATTCTTAGTCTACTACTTTTCTTAAGAATATTTTAGTTTGTATATCTTATTTTACAAAAAAGTCGATGATCATGAAATAACAATCTGCATAATTATTAAATGTACATTAACCTTCACGTAAACACTGAATTACCTTTGAAACATTGTCAAGAAAAAAGCATGTATAGTATACAATTTATGCTAAACATTATGGTAACGTATACATGTGAAGGCTATACATATAAGACAGATTGTAAAAACACAGCACCTTTCACTCACAACTTAAAGGTCCCATATAGGTTTTTATCAATTTTTTTCTAAGCAAACTAAGATGTGAATAGGAAAGGTGCTGTGGTAAAATTATTCAACTAAGATCAATCAATTTTCTTCATCTAAATTTTCCTTTCGTAGTTCCTTAAAGGGGAATTAGCTTTAAAATTCATAATTACCGATTTGACTTAAATTCTCATATTTGATTTAAAAATATGTAACATACTAAAACGTAAATCCAAATTACAAAAAGTACAAAGGAAACAATAAATAATGCATGGACTCGTGATAATGTATCATAATGGAGTGACAAATCAAGAAAATATGCTTATTTTAAGAGTTTAATGGACTGATTTACCTCACGGCTGAAAATCAACACAAAGATAGAGTAAACATTAAACTATCATTTTAGCCCTGTCAGAGAGTTTTCCTGTGCAGCATTTTTTTGTTGTTGTAAAATTGCGACAAAGTGTGACTTTCCATTTTTTTCGTCATCTGACACGGGAACAGTTATAATAAATATTTCCTGAATAATGATTTCAACAATATTTTGTAATAAAACAAGTAACTACAGTAAAACACACCATTCTTATCAAAAACATTGGGGGAAAAAAACACTTGATGAATTTTATGCGTCTGAAGCGCCTTTCTGGATTTACCTTCATCGCGGGGAAGCTCAAAGCTAAACCTTCGACAGCCAAAAATGTGTAAGTATCGAAACACGTGATGAGATATTGACCAAAATTGCTCTGCTGAAATAATTGTTTTTTGTAATTTTTTTCTCGGTACCTTTTGTTATTCTGTATAAATGTATAAATAGACGGGCGAGTCAGTTTAACCCTTCAATATGTATACGTACCTGTTCCAATTACAGGAGCTCGTTAGCGGTTAGCTTGTCTTAAATATTAATTCTATTTTCGTTTATTAGTTTAAGAAAATCGTAAATTTTAAGAAAAACTGATTAGGTTTTTAATGCTGTATTGGTATTTCGGTTTTGTTTTAATGCTTTATTAGCTTATCACAATTCTAGAAAATTGGACCTGGGTTTCATTTAAAGATAAAAGACAGATAGCATAATACATATCTTCCGCCTCTTTTCCACCAAAATAATATATAAAGTTTTTGCATCCTTTTCTATTTTTTAATTTTTTTCGGGGGAAAAGGGGGGGGGGGGAGGGGGGGGGGGGGGTTTGTGGTGTAGGGGCGATGAGAAAACCAAATTAGCTCTTCAACATAACTTGAAGATCGCGTATAGTTATTTTAGTTCAAAGATGATTTTCTGCAATTGTAGCACCCGCGATGTCAATCGGCTTTATAGTAACATAAACGTCAAATTTTCCATGCATACCTTTCTGATGCCACACAATTTATATCTAGCTATGCTTTTCTTACACCCAGTTTTATGAGGGTCGTAATGGGAGTCCTCCCTTTTTGTCTCCTTTAGTTGATTAGGTAATTTTTCTTTTTTTTTATATTTTTGGCCATTATTCTCCATTCTTTTTATGGTAGCACCCCTTTATTCTCTTTTCTTTATTTTTTACTCTATTTTGTCCCCCATTTTTATATACATTTGGGCCATTATTGTCTCGCCTGCGACAACTATCACAGTATGCGAGACATAAATATTACAATCCGGCGCAGGTGGCGACGGCGTAACCTATTTATTTACGGCTTTCAGAAGGTAGAATAAAGCCAACATTAGTATACCGGTGTTCAAATATTAGTATACAGGTGCTACCTGGATGCTTCCTACCTTGTGTAGAGATACTTTATGTTACAAAGTTTCAGTCTGTCATATGTCCATTGTAGACCTCATTTTCGAGGTTCATTGACTGCTTGCAAAAATGGTTATTGTTACGTGAAATAGGATAAAAATATGGTATGGTTCACCTGACCTCGACCTCATTCCATGGATCAATCATGGAATGATTGTAAGGTGTACATGTCAGACTGGCAGGTTTCAACTGACTTTGACTTCAATTTCATGGTTCATTGGACAATGTTTTGTTTTTTTGCGGTTTGGTCTATTTCTCAGATTTTATAAGCAATAGGTCAATTATATAATTACGTTATTGAACAATTGTAAGGTGTACATGTCTGTCTGGCAGAATTTCTGAGGTACTATTAGTGAAAGGACCACTATATTTGGTGTAGGTAATGATTGTAAGGTGTACATGTCTGTCTGGCATTGATCATCTGACCGTGACCTCATTTTCATAGAACATTGATCATGTTAAGATTATGTGATATTTGTAGTAAAACCGTCATATTACAAACTTTCAACATGCATCGCATATTTGGATACAACTATATAATGGTTAAGTTTTACCCGTTAACCCCAAGCTACAATTTGACACACATATATAATAGTAAACAAATCTACTCCAGAGACGGTTCGATATGAATTTTTCTTGACATTCATTTAATCATTATATATTCAAAACTTTTCTGTACTAACGTAAACCGTCCCGAAGTCGTCATGGGTCCGCACTTTCTAATACAATGTAATGACATGACGACCTTAAGACGCAATGTAAATAGATAATCATACAGAAAAAAATATTCAGGATTCGATATTTCTTTAGTATGAGGCCGTCAAACATTCGGAAATATAGTAAATTATCGTCTAAACTACACAGGGGAAAGCCAGACGACTTCCGGACGGTCACGTCTATAAGTCGTCACATATCACGTCCATTGGTCGTCCAGTAATATTAGCCCGTCTTTAGGTCGTCAACTCATTTCTTTTTAAAAAAAATAGTCAACACAAAATCAAATGAACTCTTATTATTGTTCATAATTCACAAACTAAGTTTTGCAGCAATTATTTCACAAAGTAAATACAATTTTCATGAAAAAGTACACTTTAAATCCAGTAAACATAGTTAATTATGAAGCAATTATAGAAACGCACTGATGGGACTTGACTACTGTTCTAATTTCATCCTCACTATCATCTTCTCCTTTAAAAGTAAGATGACACAGCTGCTGTGGCCCCGTTTTTCTTGATTTAACTTCACTCGGCTCTAATGGTCTTATTACATAGCGCGACTTTGCAAGATTGAGTTTTATCACCGAAGATATAGCTGCAGCATATTCTCTCTTTCTTTAAGTTTCGAACCTTTCTAGAGCCATCGTAAATTGCAACTGCATTTGAGTCATATTTGTTTAACGGCTCTGCCTCCAAATGATAATTACAACCAACCGAAAGTTCCCGTCTACCGTAATGATGCATACCAACTGCCAAAAATGGTCTGATTGTGAAATGTTTCATTTTGGTATCCTGGAATACAAAAATAAAATCAAAAGTCTAAAGTCATATGTATCAATAATTTGAGTAATACACAGTTAATAGCAAAATGGACACGATACAGTAGAGATACATGTTGGTATGCAACTTGCATGGATGGAATACACGGCTGCAAAAACAACACATAAACGGAACACTAGATTCGGTGACGATACGTAGACACACAAAACATGGGAATACGTCACTGCATGTGTTTGATTTTTTCAATTGTTTCTCATTTTTTGCTTTTTTACTTTTAATTTGTTTCAGTTCTCTCAATCTTTTCATTTGTTCCTGTTTAGACTTTTTTATTTCC